CTTCTTCACTCGTGTCGTTCTCCTCTAGTCCTTCCTCGTCTGAACGAAAGTATCAAAACCACAAAATCATTCCAACTTTGAACATTCATTTGGAAGTCATACATTTATAATCTTAAGGAATGCATACAATCAGATAGACATATACATATGTAGATGCATATATGCGTAAGTTGTATAGGTAAGACCCATATTGTAAGCACAGAGATGATATTTGGAAAACAAATATTGACAAGAGATTTAGATTTATAGAATTATCAAAGATTCAGATCAGATCAGGACAAGATGAAGTACAAGCACTTAAGGAATCGAGGAAAGCGACAGTGAATGATCAAACAAAAAGAAATGATCAAAAGTCGGAACAGGTGCCTGAATCGGGTTATCAATGAGAAAACAGGTAGAAATATAAGCGGAATTCTTTGAGTTCATTCTAAAATATTATATCATGTACAATATCTGCAAAATCATAAAAGTCTCTGCAGGCTGATATTGCTTGGAGTTGAAAAAAGGGAACTCTAAAATTGCTAGAAATGTAATGATGATAGAAAAAAGGGGAGTGATGAGCAAAAAACGGATGAAATTAACAAATTTTCCTGACGAGAAACGATTGGATTCATAAGAAGCTGAATTGGGAATGTGCATAGTTCTGACAGGGGAAGAATCATTGTAGTGGGTAAATATGGATGCTGGACTTCAAGTAAAATTGCTTAAATCGCATTCAAGCATGATTCAACATCAGTCAAAATCAGTATACTGATCTGAAATACGCACCACAAATAAATTCGTTGCTATTCGCGGTGATCGGTGAAATTTGCTTTCGTGTTTACTCTCATTGATAATAAAGTGGAATCCTCGGATTCATCAGATGTATCACTACATCTCAGGCAAAAAAATGCTAGAATATACTCCACTCCGAAGGTGCACTACTTTGAGTGAATACCTTCACAATGATAGAATACTGATGGAATTGAAATATATATGTAGATATTTTTTTTGTTTTGTTGAGAAATGGCCAAGATGCAATGAGTCACTTACGAGGCGAACCGGCATCCTCGCCGACAACCACCTCGGGTGTCTCAGTCAGTTCGTCCTCTTCATCCAGTTTCCCCTCACGAAGGAATTGCTCCATTTGCAATTTTTCAATATCCGCTTTCAGACGTTTATTTTTGATGAGAATTTTTCGTTTCAAATGATTCGGAGAAGGTAACGGCACGTTTGGTTCCAGCTACAAATTTTCAACGGTCACATAGAACTTGCTAAACAATACACATATTCATTATGTATTCTTTTTGGGTATGTATGAATTGAAGAGACTATGTCACAATGAGCACATTCTGTGATGAAGTCGAAACGTTTTGGCACAGATCAATTGATTTGATCAAATATGAGCATCAACTCATTACTGCGATGAGTTTATAACTCATCGTTTAATCGAATATACTGCGATGCTGACTGATATCATTGTGATATGGTTATCATATTATGTGACCGGGACGGGTGTGATTGCACGGCAAGAAATGGCGATTCAATCTTACCGGATGGTCGTCTAGAGGTCGTGAAAGGAGCATATC